CCCTCATTCGTGGTCTCCTACAGCAGCAGTCACAACTGTAGATTGTGCAGGGGACTCGGGGAACCCGGAGAAGGTGGAGGGTGACAGGGACTGAGGCCGTCCCTGCCCATGGGCCTTAGCCGAGATGGGCATCTTTCTTTCTGGCTGTGTGTTCTGCCTTATCCAACCTCTGCTTTTGGTCCACCAGCCCGGTCCTCTCTGTCTTACTGCTCTTCCATGCCTACCTTGTTTCTTCGGCTGGACCGTGGGCACCTGGAGGTCGGGGTCAACTTGTGATTGACTTGTGCATCCCTGAAGCCCCCAGCCTAGCTCGGGATGCTGGTGGCAGAGGTCTGGCCTGAGGTCAAGCATGTGGCTCTGATGGTACAGAAAAACTCCCCTTGATGGAGTGCTCACTATGCCAGGAAGTGGACCAGCATCATCTCAGTTGTCTCCAGAGAGGGGGCGTCGTTTGACCCAAACCACACAGGATACAGCACGAATGGAGCCTGGATTCCAAGCCAGGGCTCTCTGAGGTCTGGGGGATCTTCGGATGTCCTGTGCAGGGGGCCAGGGTGGGGGTGACAGAAGGCGACAGGTGGGTGAGCTTGGGGCCTTCACCTCTTTCCAGCCCGAGCAGCTTCTGTTTGCTCAGTGATTCTGCTGCAGGAAACGAAATGGAAAATGCTTCAAGGGCTCCCTCATGCAGAAACCACGGCTGGGCTTTCCTTTTTCGTGCAAGTGCTCTTCATTTTCACTAGTAAAGCCACTTTAAATTCTTACATAGGACCTGCTGTTGATTAGTGGAAAGATAAGCCCTAAAGAAATATCAGATGAACCAACTCTTTGGATTAAAGTCAGACAGTAAAAAGCAATACTTCACTTACATCTCTGTTGCAGTTGGCCAGTGTGTTTCCCCCACCAGCCGAGGGATGCTGGCGGGGGGAGTGTTGGGGGAAGGGAGCCGGTGTGCACTTGCCCAGAGCACTGGCAGGCCTGGCCGGGGGGCCTCAGGGAGAGAGACTCTCATAAAAGTGGCGGCGGCACCGCAGGCATCCCCCAGCTGAAAACAAACACCTGACATTCACTTTAAAGGCGAGCAGTTCCAAACTGATCATTGACATTAGTAAGAGAATTGTTTTCTTTGGGAGAAAAATTCCCCATGGTTTCTTTTAAACAGGCAGCTACATGGTCACTTTTTATTTTTTGTGTGTTGAATAAGCCTCTAATACTTGGCTGAGAGGCTGGAGTTGGGCCAGAGAGAAACCTCCAGTGTTAGGAGCTTTGCCCTTTGAGGATGTGTCAGAACCGGAGGAAAACCATCCAAGAAATTATAGTCAGGAAAACAGGACTACAGCTCTCAGTCAGTTCCCCAGAATGTTGGAGTGAGGTGTGCCCGTGTGCACGGAGCACAGGCTCCCAAGCCAGAGGGCTTTCCCTGAACCTCGTCGCTTCCTGACATCCGTCATCTCATGATGACTTTGAAAGATACCCCCAGAGTTTCTGCATCCAGGTGCTGTCCTTGCACGATGCTCTGTGGGTACCCTCTCTCTTTCCGCTTAGTGAGAAATACCCATCCATGTTCAGAGCCCATGGGTTTGCTGCCAGCCCTGCCTGCTTCCTGTCACCTCGGCCCTGGGGCTGCTGGGTGTTTCTAGCAGAAGGATAGTCCTAAGGAGTTCGGAGAGGGCTTCTTCCGCTTCCTGCCCTGGGAAAGCTGGGGCTTGACGGAGTGGTGATTTCGGCAACCGGCTACCCTCTCCTCGTTCATCAGCCCTGAAGCTGGCCAGCATGCAGCACGTTGTGCAAGAAACAGCTGTTGTTTTGACAAAGGACGCCCTGGCCTCACTTTTTTGAATCATCAGAGTGAGTCAAGGGGTCATCTATTCCCAGCCTCTGTCCCCAGGCAGGTGGACACGGAGGCCATGCTCATGCATAATGTGGGACACACAGCATGTAAACTGTATTTCTAGAACTATATGTGTTTCTGTTTTTTCACATTAACAGTTTAAAAATATACATAACGGTAGTATATTTTGTGGTTCTTTTCCAATGAGGTAATTCACGCACATGGCAAAAAAGCCGAAAGATTTATACCGAAGAGCCTGTCCCTTCCTCCCCAGCGCCGGCTCAGAGCCAAGCACGGTTACAGGCATCTTCTGTATCTTTCTAGAGACAATCAAAGCTTACGGGAGCATATGCACAGATACTCTTTTAAACAATGTAACATTGTTTTGCACTTTTCTTTTTTTGCTTAAATATAGCTTGAAGATCATTCCATCCCAGATAGTACACTGCACAGGACTGCATTTTTTTTTGTTCTGACCATTGCGAAATAATCCTTGAATGGATTTGCCAATACACTATTGCCGGACATTTAGCTTGGTTCTACGGTTTTTGTATTTGAGGGTTTTTTTTCCTTTTTTTTTTTTTTTGACTCTTTGTGCGTTTTTAATGCTTTTCAGATGTGGGGACTCTCCGTGCTCCTTTTTACGTGTCACCAGTGACTCCGGCTGAGGTTCTGTATTTCAGGCCCCCATCACCACCTCCCCTGAAGCATTAATTCCCTTGTTAATGTGTCATTATAGGTGACACTTGGAGAAGAGACAGGCTGGGTAGATAATAAAATAGTGTTTGGCTTATGTCTCATAGCTGTCTCCTCCCTTTGCATCGCCCCCAGAGCCTTAGGAAGACTTCGTGTCCTTCAGAGGGATTCGGTGGTGGTTTTTCCAGGGGATGCGGTCAAAGACAGTGAGCCATCAGCTTGACCAGCCAGACCCAGGGCGGCAGAGGCTCAGCCTCTCCTCCTCGCTGTGCCGATCTCTTTCCATGGTGGTGGGCGGCGGCACCGTGTGAAATTCAGAGAGCCCCGTTGGTTTCTCACGGGGGCCTGCATATGTCTGTTGGGTAGGGAGCATGGTGGGCCCCCGGAGGGTCCCTGCCTGACAACAGCAGGTCACCCCGGGCTCCCAGGCCCCGCCACCCTGAGATAGAGGTGGATTTGTTTGCATTCCAGCAAGCAGCCTGTGCCAGGCTCAGCCCTCCTGGAATCTGCCCACAGGGTCCCTCGGCACTGGGCTGGGATCGGGGTAGAGGGGAGCCGAGGGTCTCGTAGACTACGTGCTCTTCTATATCTCCTGCAGCGCTCCCCCCACTGTCCCCGAGCTTTCCACTAGATGGAAGGTGGGGTCGGGGCTGGGACCCCACAGTCACCTGTGTGCCCCCAGCATCCAGCAGCAGAAGTCATCAGATGCTCTCTGTTTAGGTGACCCTCTCCCCCCCACAGGAACTAGGATCCTTGCTGAAAGCTCTTTGTTTTCCTCCAAGTGTTCTGCCTCTGTGTGAGTGGAACCAAACATCAACTTGACTTTTTTTGGTCATATTTCAATATTGGCTTTTTCTTTTCCCCTTTCTTGAAGTCTCCTTTTATAACTGCTGCTGCTGCGGCTTAAATATAGATGTCTAAGCCCTCCTCCTTACCAGATTGTTTATATTTTTGAGAAGCCTTCTGCTTATCCGCGATCGCTCCTCCTCCGTCTCCATCCCCACGCTGCCACATTGCTTTCGGTTGCTCTTTTCTCCCCCTGCCTTCACTTGCCTGGGATGCGTTTCAAATGTGGTCTATCAAAATGTGCAGTGTTTCCCTCTTTTCTGCAGTAGCTTTGACATCTGTTCTTGAATCCTAGCCCACGGTATTCTCTGGGACTGGCTTGCCCAAGACTGGCTGTAATGCCAGAAGCACGGGAAGGAGGAGAGAGTGTGGTGTGGTGGTATCTACCCCACCTCCCCCACCCCGAGTTCCTCTCCCCGCTTCCTGCTTTTAAAACTGTCTGCCATTTCCAAGTTGACAGCACCCGAGATGTTTGTTCCAGCACTCTGCCATCCCGTCTGGCAGCGGCCCACCCTGTAGTGGTACGAATGAAGTGTTCACCAGCAGGGCTTGCAGACGCCTTGGGTTATTTCCGCCAAAAAGGAAGCCAGGTGGGTGGAGGGTGGTGGGGAAAGACTCTTGCATGCTTCCTGGATGTCTCTGCATGGATCTACATCTTGGATTTTCCCCACTTTTCCTAGCTCTGCTGGGCCTCAGGGTGGCGATTCCTTAACGTTGAGAAGCCACTTGGAGCAGCCGCGTGAATCCCAAGCAGTGTGCGTCTTTAGTAGCTGAAGCCGTTTGGTGCCTGCGGGAATGTGTCCCTGTGCTCCTGCTGTCAGCCTGGGACGCCATCCTGGGCCCATCTGCTGCAGGCTTGTTTGAATCAGATCCTCTTGGCAGCTCCTCCCAGCGTTTCCAGGGCCAGGACACAGGTTCTCTGACGCTCTGAGTGTCAGTTTGTCGTGTGCAACAGAGGTCCTGGTGGAGCCCAGAGTCTCAGGGCAAGTTAAAGAATTAGAGGATAATGCTGTTTCCAGGTGCCTCACTTCCCAAGTTTACCAGATGCTGAGAATCATTATTCTTGGAACTTGCCTCTTAAGGTCCCTCTTGAAAACAAGTTAACAGTTAATTCTAGCCGTCCTGGACATGATGTCTGGCCTATAGTAAGCCCACAATAAGTGTTTGTTGAACAAAAGCAAATAGGGGTGACTACAGAAGATTCCAGGCCCACACTGTGGAAGGAGAGTCAGGCAGAATGTCTCGGTGAGAACCCAGAGTGAAATGGCAGGACTGGCACCCAGGGATGTGGCACGAAGAGATGCTTGTTAAGAACAGGAACGAGCGACTCTGGGGAGGGCTGACATGCGGGCGTTGGTCTGACTCTGGTTTTAGTGAAGAAAAATGCACCTGCGTTTTCTGTGGTGGAAACAGTCGCTTGTGCTGTTGATACACAGCACGCCCAGCTGGGTGGGTTTGGTTTCCTTGAAGCAGCGCACGGGCCGGATGGGAGCCTCAGGGTTGTACGGGTCCCGGCAGCCCCGGGATCCCTCCTCCGCCCGCCCTCGTGTTCTGGTCAGATGCAGACATGCTCTCCTCCCCTGCAAAGTGCAATTACAATCGTGTCTTCTCTTCTGTTTTCTCTCCACAGAGGGAACTCGATGCCACCGCAACAGTATTGGCGAACCGGCAAGATGAAAGCGAGCAGTCTAGAAAGCGGCTCATCGAGCAGAGCCGGGAGTTCAAGAAGAACACTCCAGAGGTGAGGTGGCATTCCCGTCCTGGTCTCTCCGAAGTGCAGCCGGGGGGTCTTACTATCCGAGGGCACGTTCAGAAGACGCGTCGTAAGCTGTTCATTCCTCGCAGAGCAGCGATCGGCTGCTTCCTCTCCGCCACCCTCCGCCCTGTCTGCGCACCACGTGCGGGCTGGGGACGCAGATTCAAGCCCAAGCTAATTCCAGGTGCACGTGCTGAACAAGCTGGGTGTGCGAGAGCGCGTGGGCAGCCGTGTGGGGGGTCAGACCCCCCAGCCTATCCGTGCCAGGGTGCCCACGTCTGTAGGCAGCCCACTCTGGGTCCTCAGGGAGTGTGAGTACAAGGAGGGATGGGGTGATGGGGCCTCGGAGGCCCCCTTTCCCGCACTGAGGTGGGTGGGGCGTCTGCAGGCTGCTTGCATCTGAGGATGCAAAATGCCGACGATTCTTGCAAAACAGACATTTTGTCCGGTCGGGCCTTTTACACGCCTCTGGGTTTCCTGAAATATGCTTTAAAGGGCACTGGAAATGTGCTCTTTGCGCACTCCTAATTTTTTCTTGGACGTATGTGTTCCGAGGACAGTGTTTAGAGTGGCTGGGGCAGCCTTTTCCTGCTGCGTTTTCTTGGTCCCTCATCCCCTGAGTCCCTATCTAAGGCGCCAGATGAAATAAAAAGAAAGAAGGGTTTTACAGACAGCTGAGCAGACATGGGGATGGCTTTCCAGGGAGCCTCTGCCACCCGGGCCCACGGCGGCTCTCGTGTCGCGGGCTCGCCCCCAGCCTGCTGCACCCCCACTCGGGTGTGAGTGCGTTGCAGCTGCTCAGAGCTTCAGCCCTGACTCCCTGCCCTCCAGACTCTTCCATGGGGACCAAGGAACAGGCCTGGAGGAAAAGCTGCTTCCTGGGAGGGATGCCTCTAACTTTTTTAATCGTCCTGGAAAATGATATGTGAATTGAAAGTTCTAAAGTGGACTCATGTGAAGTGTTCCAAAGGAGCTTGCCGTTTAAGGGGGCGTTATTGTGAATCACGAGGGGAAGCCAATAATTAACCCTCTATTTTCAGAGTAAATACTTCGGGAGAAAAAACAGGATAGTGCAGTGGAAAGAAGGAAGTCTCTAGGGGCAGACCCACTGAAGTATTTTCAGTTTTAGACCCACTGCTTACCTGCTCCACCCTGCCCATAAACTTGGGTCTTGCACGTTTTATCAGACCAGACGCACAGGGCGGAGTAATTCACACCTGGGGGTTGCCCCCTCTGCCTCTGGCTGCGGGGGTGGGGATCTGCTAGTCTCCACGACCCGCAACTAGCTGTCGTCGCTGTGTTCTTACTGCGCTTCCCTTGGTGACCCTTGGTCCAGGGGTGTCCATAGAAAATCTGGAAAAGAAGGGCAAATCATGCTTCTGAGGCTGCAGACCATAATAGGTAAACATAAGCTGTCATACAATAAAGTCCTGTGAGGCGAACTGGATTCCGGAGTTTCCCTCTGGAGTCCCAGGCTCCTGTCAGTTGCTCAAGGCGGTACCGACCGAGGAAGGTCTGGCCACCTAGAGCCCAACACTCATTTGCTAAATGTTAATAGGACTAAATGGGCCCAGTCTGTCTACTGACTTTTAAACACACCTTGTTCTGCAGAAACTGGCCACCAGCATCCAGGGCTTGTGTTGAATCCTGGGCCAGTTCCTCAAAGAAACCCCGCCTCAGACTTTGCATTTTATCCCTTAGGCCCGGTAAATAGAAGAGGCCAGGGAAGGGGGAGCCTAGTAGGAAGTGCCATTGGGGGCATTTCTTTTCAGGGCACATTTTTTAGACATCACCTTCCATGGAAGAGGGGACCCAGAGCCCCACTTGGAAGGGATGGACGTTGGCAGCCCTGCTCGCTCCCTGCAAGCTGGTCAAGGCCGGCGGCTGCTCGGGCTCCTCCCACCGCAGTCAGGAGGGCCTCCCTGTGGCCCGGGCGTCCCAGGTGCGGGGAAGGGGAAGCTGCTTGCTGGTTCCGCCCCAGTGGCTCCCCTTACATCTCCCGACCCCAGGCCCATCCTTGAAATCCAAGTAGGGTCCCGATGGGGACCCTGAGGTGAGACCCAGTAGAGACAGGTTCTCCTGCACCGCCAGTCACCCAGAATCTTCTGTAAATTTGGGAACCACTTAAGGCTAGAGTGGAGGTGGGGCCGAGGAGCTGCAGTTGAGTTCCCCTGTGCATAGAGGTGTACTTGAGGGTCCTGTGGCGTGGAGCGGGGTCTGGTGGTGTGGGGGGCTCTGGCGAGTGCGGGTCCTGGGACCCAGAGCGGATGGTTGGCCGTCACTTGGTTTAGGGCTTCGGTCCAGAGGAGCCTGCCCTGTCTCTGACACTAGTCATTAGTTCTGGTTATTCATCAACTGCAGGTAGATTAACCCAGACTGCCGAGGGAACGCTTCTAGAAAGTGGACGTGTGAAAAGGTTGCTTAGAACTTTGTTCTCCAGAGTAAAGAAAAGTTGGCTTGTTGGCAGGAAAAGCATCTTGTCACGTGGACATAGACCGGCCTCACACCGTCGGCCGTGAGGACTAGGCCATTGGTTCCAGGGTGGCCGGCAGGCCAGAGCCAGGGCCAGAGGTCTTGCTAGTGTCACACCAAGTGTGCTGATTCTCAGTGAAAACCCCGATGTCCCTCTGTGTTCTGGGGAAGGAGAAAATGTCCTCCCAGTGTCTGTTGAATATCTAGTAAGTCTAATAGGCAGGTTTAGTCTCCAGGGAGAAGTCAGAGGTGAGTGAGGGTGTCTCCCGCCGGGGGAGCTTATGTTTTCCTAGACTGGCCCTGCTCCGGGCGACTGGGAAAGCCCAGGTAGGGGGAGAGGTGGGGGGTGAGGTGGGGGGACCCACAGGCAGTTCCCATGCCGGACAGGCCATAGGCACACGAGAGGCGGGTGCCAGGGGAGCTGGGGCCTCAAAGATTTCTTGTTTAGAATGAAGCCCTTTCAGTTTCAGTTTTATGTCATTAGAGGAATACATTCACAGTCAATTGATGTTACTGCTCATGTCGTTTTATCAGAATTGTAGTGAATCTGAAGGAGGTGCAATTACCCTGCCAATAAAATTTCATACATTTCTTTGATTCAAAAAAAGAGTCCCTTTCGAGGAAAACCGTTTTTAATTTTAATTTTGTGACTATACATTCATTCCCTATTGAGTTTATGATTGATACCTGAATGTAAAAGACCATGGGGTATTTCTGGGTTGTATCTTTCGCTTTCTGTATTTATGACTGCAGGTGACTTACTGGCTGGCGTCAATGGGCGAGCGACGTAACCTCCCAAAGGCTCCGTTTTACCGTCTATAAAAAGTGTGATGACAGGGCCTAGCTCGCAGGGTTGCTGCATGTGTGTGTGTGTGTGTGTGTGTGTGTGTGTGTGTGTAAGGCTCCACGCGGGCCCGGCACCAAGAATCTAGTGCATGTTTGTTACTGGCATTAACTTGGAACACGTACTACAAAGCACATGGGATGTAGCTGATTTCTGCTCCTCGAAGCCAGCTCAGGGGAGTTAAAACAAAACAGAACAAAATAGATATAGGTTGTTTTCACCCAGAGTGTTCCAAACGTTGGTTTGTAAAGTTGGTTGCTAATAACAGTTAGTCACTTTACAGATATTTTTTGAGCACCTTCCATGTGCCATGTGGTTTGGCCCTAGGAGTAAAATCCCATCCTTGTTCTTGAAACGATTCTTATATTCTTATCAAGAAAGTTCAACATCCTGATAAGGCATGTTAAGTGCTGGGATGGTGTCTCTGGAATCCTCTGAACGCAGACTTTCCCCCCAAAATTCTCTTAGATCAATGATGGTAACGTTCCAAACCACATATGCTGCAGTGATTCTTACTGTATGTGAACAGGGCTGGTTTTGGAGCCTTGGATCTTGGCCTTTGAAATACTGGTGAATGTTAAGGACCCGCCCACCTGAGAATTGCACACAGTTTCTCCTGGACTCCCTGAAACTCATCCGGGAGCCCTTGGATTAGAACACAGCTCCAAGGCCGGCATTGGTGATCTCTGTGCTGCACCAGAAGCTCTGTACATGTTTCCTCCTCCTCCCTCCCAGTTGTGCCCAAGGTGCAGGGTGGAAGGATGGGGAGGAAGGGGCTGCATGAGAGATAAGTGCTAAGGCCTTGACCACTGGGCAGAGGCCACTGCACTCCAGCCTCCGGGCTGGGCGCTAGGGAGCAGGAGATGGGTGGAGGGGCTGGGCCACCCCCGCTGATGAGGGCAGGTGGCATCAGGGGCACATGCCTCTGTGCTGGGTGGCAGGTTCTTCCCGCGCCAGGCTGGCAAAGAGCAAGGCTGGGTTAGTGACAGCTTTCTTGAACTCTTGAGCCAAGAGATGTTAGAACTGTGGGTTCAGTATAGGCCAAAACCCCTTGCTTCTTGCTTTTCTGTTGCTTTGATCAGAGAGCTGAAGTATTGGCCAGGATTACCTTTGATGCCTTAAATGGCATCTGTATTGATAAAGCTGGTGGCAGATTAGATGTGATCACCAGTGATGTGGAGGCTTGTGGGTGCTGCCCAGAAGCAGCCTAGGGCAGCACGCCAGCTTCTCACTCCTGGAAACTGAGTTATTTCCAGTGGGGGTGGGAGCACTGAGATAGGGGCAATGCTAGGGTTTCATGGTTCTCTCTTCCACTTGGTTAAATTTCAAGTTTGCGTCTCAGACCAACGTTTGTTATGACAAGGATCTCACAGCCACTGCTAGGCCGAGCTGGGACTTGAACCCAGGCGGTCTGGCCCCTGAGTCGATGCTCCTAGCTGCCGGGCCATGCTGCCTCCTCAAAGGGCCCAGCGTCTGGAGCGGCGCCAGCCTCAGAGCCAGTCCCGGGACGCTCACAGTGGGTGCCGTCCCAGCTCACCCGCTCGAGATACCTGAATGTGATGCTCGGTTATCAGAAGAAAGGTTTTCAGCGTTGCTTCCAGACGGAGCACAGGGATGTTTTTTGTTTTGTTGCCATTCTTTTCAGTAAGAGAAGAACCATCCTTTACAG